CATTTTGTTAATGCATTGAATTCAAAATGTCAATCAGCATTTTCTATCTTCTGCATATTTGATAGTTTAAATACAGAAGGAAATGAAAGTATCAATTACTATCCTTTCCCAAATAATCCCAAGCATACAAAGCTGGTGCCACCTCTGATCCCCCACTGAACCACTGAAATTGATGGCATGGCTCATGACCAGCCAGCCACCCGTGCTTGCAAAACAGAAGCTCTGATTGCCTTATGAAGGACTAAAATAAAAAGCCATGGACACTTGGGGTTTGGAGCACTTTATTTGGTGCCACCACATACAGAATCACAGAATCAATTAGGTTAGAAAAGACCTCTGAGATCATCGAGTCCAATCTATGACCAAACACCACCATGTCAACCAGACCATGGCACTGAGTACCACGTCCAGTCTTTCCTTAAAACACCTCCAGGGACGGTGACTTCACCACCTCCCCGGGCAGGAGGAACACGTGGCACTGCAGACAGGCAGCAGAATTCTGCCTTCCAGGGTATCCAGCCAATCCAGCTCCAGGGGTCTTGCTTGCCTGCAAGGGTCATGGCGAGTGGGCTCAGTGCTGAGTCCCCTGATGACACAGCTGATAGCATTTACAAGAAGGTTTAAAACTGTAGGGAGTTCAGTGGCTTCCATTTGCAACTAATAGTTTTTAGAATAGTAAAATGGTTTTGGGTCAGAGGGGATCCTCAAGGATTGTCTGATTCCACCCCTAGTCCTGCCGTGGATGGGAACATCTTCCAGTAGACCAGGCTCAGAGCCCCATCCAACCTGGCCTTGAACACTTGCAGGGATGGGGCATCCACAGCTTCTCTGGGAGGCCTGTTCTAGCATTCTTGCTTCTGTATTTATATCTTAAATGCATGAAACAGTGTTTAGCAAGTGCTTTTACATGAATTGGAAGAGAACAGGTCTTATATTGGGCTTCAGAAAATCAGTAGTACAGGAACAACATATGTGGAGCCAACAGGAGTTAACTCATGCTTGCCATTATGCTTGTGATATCTATATATGTTAGTTTGCATTTGGAAAACTTGCTTTTCCATTTTATCTTTTTCTGTTTTTTTCCTCCAGAAGCACTGTTTTAACAAAACTGTAAATGCCTTATTTAAGTACTAACACTTTCATAAAAGGTGGAGTTTTTTTACATTAATGATCCTTGCTTAAAATACTAATACAGGAACACCGTTAGTAGTAAGTAATTAATAATAAGCGTTAATTATTTCTCACCTGAAGCCTTGCACGAAGAATATTTTGTAATTTTATATTTTCTCAAAGATTCTAAGAAAAACTGTAGCATTTAAAATCGTTTTATACCATTTTGTACATTTGTATGTTGTCCTTGAACTTGAACATATTTGAGACACAGTTATAACATTATGCATTCTGCATTTCTGGAAAACCTTTCTACACCCTTCTCTCAGTAAACATTTCTTTTGATTTATAATAATATTTTTGAGGTGAAAGCTAGTAGTTTTTGTTAGGTATATGTGCAGGCAGGTTCCTTGTAAGGACGAGGCATTTTGGAACTGAATGCAGGAAAACATCTTAGATCAATTCAGAGTTTCCTCATCTTTCTGTAACCATATTGCTAAGCAGTTTTGCCAGGCATCTTGATTCTCAAATTATAGTCATTGTGGGTAAGTGCTTACTTATATTTCTTTGCTATCTCTTGTCTACTCAAGAACTTGCATGTGAACTCCTCATTCTATTTGTTTTAGAACTGTGAAACCATTGCAATATTACAGAAGGTTTTTGGTGAGTAAAATGTGAGATGCCTGTGTAAATTGCTTATAATTAATTTTTTCTTTCTTGCAGTTCTTGACATGATAGAATGTTGTTTCAATTTCTAACTTAAGAGTCACGTATTGTACAACTTCTGCCTGATGGTACTTGAATGTTACTTTTTTGAGGGGTTGTTTTGCTTTAGTTCACTCTCTTTAAGCTCCACTAGGTGGGGATGGAGGAGAGAAATTGCCTGCGAAACCTGAACAATGCAGACAGGTGGAAACTCTCATTTGAAGTTACCAACGAGTATTCATTCTTGGATGATATTCTGAATCTAGCCTGTAGTACTTACCTTTGAGACAATAAATCTATTGTTATATTTTCTAAATAAATTATAATAAATTTTAAAAATCAGGGATTTTTTCGCAGGCCTACAACTACAAAATACATATCAGTTGATGAAAAGCCAGCTAGAATGTGACCGAGTTCTCCCCAGCATTTTTTGAGGCTGCCTCTTTCTGCTAAAAAGAATATTATTTTATATTAACTCCTATAGCATAAATATTACTGTATTATTTAATAAAATATGTTTTCTAATTTGAATTTTGGAATGTTTGCTTAGAAAGAGAACTGTCAACCCAATGGAAGGGAGTTAGGTGAATTCCGGGCAACCACTGTCAACATAGGCAAGCGCTTATTTGGAATAATAATAATCATAATAATGAGGGAGGTATTAATAATATTGGGTTATAATAGTGACCTTAATGACTTGCTCGGTTTTCTTAGTTCTTGCTTTGAAACAAGGAAGAGAAAGGATTTTATTTATTGTTTCAGTAAGCATGAAAGAGAATGCATGGTACAGTAATATACTTTTAATATTGTTTTCAGTCCTGCTCCCAGGTTGATGTGCACAGTGTAATTACTTGGGTCTGCTCCTATCCAGGTATGTGTAGCACAAATTAGGTAATTGTGGAATCTTGTCTCTGTCTAAGGTCAGCAGCATCTGTTACAGATGCTGGAGGCAGCAGTCAAGGCATATGCTAACCAGCACAAAATTGATGCCTGAGCATCTTGGGAGGGATGCTGAGTCCTGGCTTCTGCTGTGTTCTGAGTTTGGTGGGCAACTGCCTTGAGCAGAGGCAAAATGAGTCAGTAATGTGCCCTTGCTGCAAAGAAGCCAATGCTATCCTGGGCTGCATTAGGCACAGCATTGCCAGCAGGTCAAGGGAGGTGATCCTGCGCTCTGCTCAGCAGTGATGAGGCCACACCTGGAGTGCTGTGTCCAGTGCTGGGCAGTGTATATAAATACCTGAAACAGGGAGGGTGTGGAGAAGACAAAGCCAGGTTCTATTCATTAGTGCCCAGTGACAGAACATAAGTCAATGGGCACAAGCTAAAACACAGGAGGTTCCCTCTGAACATGACGAAACACTTTTTTACTGACAGAGTGATGGAATGCTGGCACAGGTTGGCTGGAGAAGTTGTAGAGTCTCCTTCCTTGGAGATAATCAAAAGCCATCTGTGTACAGTTCTGGGCAACCAGCTATAGGTGGCCCTCTTTGAGTAGGGGTGTTGGACCCTGTGAGATGAGGTCCAGCTGTCCCAGCCTCAGCCATTCTGTGTAATTGACTGTTTAATACAGAGATTCTGTCCCACTCTGGGTTTGAGACGTTGCTCAGCCTCTGTTTAGTATAAAATGATGGAAAGTTAACACTCTGTAAAGGCAGATGTTAATAATGCTCTTTGAATGAAAAATAGATTTTATTGAACAGTACTTTTTCTCCTCATGTTCAATTACAACTGCAGATGGTTCTGCCCTGGTGAAGTTAGGAAATACCACAGTGATTTGTAGAGTGAAAGCGGTATAGTTGGGTTTTATTTTAATTGATCTGTTAGCTGAATTTGTGCATTGGTGTTTAGAATGAATTACCCGCAGAGTTACAGTAATGTGCCAGAAACAATTACAGTTTTTCACCTGAGTTACTTTCAGATGTGAAAGTTCATATAGAATTTAATTACCTAATCCTACCTGTACAGTCTGAGGACATGTATTTTTATGGTGCCCATCATGTAGAGGGAAAAATGTATACAAATATAAACTCCTTGTTATTTCTAGATAAAAGCTATATAACTGAAAAGTTATTGAATATTGATCAATAAGTGCCCTGGGGATTAGATGGCTGGACTATACGTGCTTTGTAGCCTCAAATTTACTGCTGGTCTGCCATGAACTATGAGCCAAATCACTGCATGCCCCATAATTTTACACAGGAAATTTACAGACAAGGACTGATTAAAAATGGCTTTTGTAAATCTCATTGCAATGATAACTACCAAGAAATTTACTATTTGTATATAGAATAGCTGGAAAATCTTTTTTGGTTTTCCAGGAGCTTGCTGCACCTGCAGTAGATTCTGCTCATAAGGGGTAATACTGGTGAGTGTTTCAGTGTAGGTCTTGCTCAGGTCTTGTATTGCTTCAACTAAGAGGCTGTAATGACAAACTGTGTTGTGAAGATTTCTTAAAAGAATGAATTTGGTAAAACTATATTTCCAAATTGACATCTAGGCAGTGGTGCTTCAGAAATTTTACAATTCCTTCTGCTCTGCTTGTGAGTTTTCCACGTAAAAGTACTTTTTTATTGCTGATTCCAGGCCAAGTTGGAAAACAGACCTATAGCAGGGGCAAGTGTGTACATTACGAGGGGGAAGGTAGTTAATCTATAAAAGATTGTGGCATCAAGGTTGTGCAAAGGCACGTTAACTCCTGTTTTGAAGTCCCAGTAGGCAAAAAAATTAACTCTTATAAACCCTGTCTCTTTCTCAGAAAACTGTAAAAATTCAGGGCGTACCTCCCTACTCCAAACATTTGGAATTTCTTTGGAAATAAAATAGTTCTGTGGAACTGAGAGGTTAGACCAAATCCCTTTTTTGCAAGGCATCTCCAAATATGCTGTTTTCAGGGAGCTTGGGGTTTTTTCACAAAAGTTTATGCATATTTTTTGCTTCAAGTCTAAAGCTTCAGTTTTTAATGGCTGATGAAAAACAGATAGCATACCAGTCAAGTCAGGCAGGGGATGAAAATACTGCTGTTTCTTGATCTACTGAAGAGTGCCTAATACTTAAAGAATTGAGTTTGTATGGGGTCATGATAGTCATTGCAGGATTATAAACAGAACATGGTAGTTAGGATAATGTGATTTTCCATGAAATATATAGTTTCTAAATACAGAGTACTACAAGTTCTTTAATACCATGAAATGTATAGTTTCTAAATATAGACAACTACAAGTTCTTTAATACCAACTCATGCATAACTTTAGTTTTGAAGGGAGTAGGGAGGCTTGATAGAAAAACTTCTGGTCTTGCCCTGCATTTGAAGTACATAAAATGGTATTAAGAGTGACTGTTATCTTACAACCATTTCTGATATCCCACTGCTTTTTTTAATACCTAGTACCAAATGTAGAGCTGCCATCCCTCCGTTCAGAGAGGTTTCGCTCCGGACCACCTGGTGAAGAGACTCAAGTAGCGAGCCAGTTCATTGCAGATGTGACTGAAAAGTAAGAACCAACTTAGTGAATTTAAGCCACAGACAACTCTACAAGACCTTATGCTCTGATCTTATTTTAGTTCACAGATGATAGTGAAAGAACATCTATGTATTGCAAATGGCAAGGTAAGTTGTATATCAAAGTGAGGAGGGGGATACTAACCATCTCAATGAGGCATTAAAGAAGGTGTCTGGGATTATAGGTTGTTTTGTTCTTGTTTTGCTTTTTAGTCTTCATAGCTTGGTTTACATCTGAAGTGTAAAAATTGCATTATAGAAATCAGTATCTGTATTCAATGTGCCCAGAATTTTCTTACATATTGCACCATTTGCTTAGCTGCTATGGTATCTCATATGTGCAATCCTGTTTTGATAGTTTGCTTGGGTGTTATACTGTGATATCATATGTCTGGACTATGATGGAAACCTTTTGGATGCCAGTCTCTTTGCTTTGTTAGCAGCATTAAAAAATGAGTAAGTCGTCCTTAGAGCAAGAGACATGTTCTGATTAGTGTTGCTTGGAGAAATGCGTTAGTTTTGAACCACGATTAATAGGTAACTGGTTCACAGTTAGGACCGTTTGTTTCCTGCCATTTCAATGCTAAATTACTAAAACAAAAAGTGGAAATGATGGTATGGGTGCCATAGGTGTGTAATAACTGGAAAGACTATATTCCTGGGTTTTACATGTCCAGTAGGCTTTTTGGGGAAAAAAAATACTTTTCTTAAACATGATTCCAGACTATTTTAATTGCATGGCATTTTGGAAGTAGAAAATGCTTCTGTGTAAGGAGAAATGCTTCTGTTACCTTGAGGAGAAAAATCAAATACTTCCTTTAACAGGTAGTCCTAAGCCAAATACTTTGCTTGAAATCAAGACTACCATTAACAAAGCCAAAATTCTTGATTGATTTCTGGTGTGTTGAAAGAACAGCTTAAATATTTCCGTAGTCTTGGACATCTTTAGGCCTGCTAAACCCAGCAATGTTTAATATTAGACCACTTCAATTTTTTCATCTCTTCAGTACAACTGCCATCAGTTATTATAAACGAAGAAACTGGTTTATCAGAAGGGAATTTAAAACAGAAGACTCCTTTGATTATCAGAAAGCATCCAATTGCCACATCATTTGCTATATTTGATGAGTAAGCTCGTAACTGTTTTGTACTTATGGAAACAACTGCATCTGTAAAAGTTGGAGTGAAAGACAGAGGATGCTACCAGTGATGCTTCTGCACTTCTAGTGATGAGTGTGCTGCCTCAGGCAGGGCTGTTTAACTCATCTTAAATCCAGGCCCCTCTTGTTGAACTGACCTGTAGTTCTGTGATGTGAATGAGGATGCAGAAAGCAGGACTGTTTCCCAACCTAAAAGACATGCTTAGAAATACAGGGGTAGGTATTTTTTTTAGGTTTTTGAAGTATATGTGAAATGAAACAATCTTAACATTGCAATTAATATTTTAGAAGCCTATATAAATAAGTGATATAAAAGATAGTAGTTTTTGAACAGCTTATACTAAGGATGTAGTCAACAGAGCAACTAAGAAGTAACAGTCCAGTTAGAACAACATAACCTCTGGATAAATGAAAACAAGAAGAAGTATGACCAGTATTCTTAAATCATTGTTCATATAGGAAAAGAATCGAATTATGACATTTCAAAATAATCACATCTGATAATTTACTCCTCACCTGAAATTGCTGACTGGCTCTTCATTAGTCCAAGTATGTTAAGGATATTTTCTGCTGCTGTTTGTAAGAAATGCAGTCATTGCTGGTGGCATCAATTTGAACGAAGAAAATGGCAAACAGGACAGTGTTCACTGTACTATTTAACATTTAGGTCTATTTAGAGATATCGGTGGTTTATGGCACATTAATCCCTATTCACAGAAGTAATTAGCAGGGCCTTTCACTCAAATAAGAGATAGGGTAGGGGAAGCAATAAACTCAAATGCTGGCCAAGTGATTACCAAAATTAATCAGGACAGTATTTTATTGGTACTTTAGAGTGCCTGTGTTAATTGCTTTAATACCAGTTCTGATGGGTCTGAAGTTTTATGTAGACTGAAAGTGAGAGAGTTTGGGTAATACACCAGACAGATACACAAATCACACTTACTTACACGTAGACAAAAAAATTTCCTTTGTAAGAAAGCTTTCCATGCATGTCTCTTGGGCTTTGTTTCCTTCACTGAAATCAACTGTTGCATCAGAAAAGCTACTTAAATCTCCCTTTAGCTCAACTAAAGATGGAGGGGGTGTATGCCTATGTTGTGTGGTTTGTTTAATTATCGTTTATTAGTTTTTCTACAGCTATTGACACGGCCCTCTAAATAAAATGCTTTACATACTCCAGCATTTAGAGGTATTTTTCTTCTGCGTAAAAGCCCTCCTTAAATAAATAAAACTTGCAGGTTGTTGGATAGTGTGGCCATGGGAGAGGAGCACTGGTGCAGAATGTGGTGCAGCTCCACAGCTGGCTCCTGGGGTGTTGACTTGTACATAAAAAATACATGACACATTGAACCCTTCACATGTCCCTGCATCACACAAAAGGTTGATGTGTCATAGTGCATGGAGTTAGACTTTAAAAAGCATTTTTGAACAGCGTAGGTAAGGACTTCTGTTTTTATTACTACTGCTATTAAATGGCAATCTGAAATACTGGTGAGGTTTAAAGTTCAGCTTTAAGTTCAACTTTTATTTGTTGAGCAAAGCTGGCTTATAGTTTATATCCTCTTTTTTTTTACCATTGATTTTGCTCTATTTTTATCTTAAATGGTACAAAATTAAGAATATTTAATCTCTCAAAGATATGCTGCATCATGTGATGTATGACAAGTTTATTTTGGATGCCTTAAGGACAGCTAAACACCCTGTAAATCCATTTTTTTAACCATTCCCAGGCTGAGTGATATAAGAGTTCTCTGACAAGAAAATGAGAACTACTTTGGTGAACTTACCCTTGGAAATGAGTTTTGCATTAAGGTGTCTGGTAGAGATTAGTGCCGCCTACACCCCGTGCCAGTCTTTGTGTAACTACAAAATAAGTGACTGCATCCTTCAAATTGCAGTTTAGTGGCATTTTCCTGCAATACACAGATGCCACAAATCTAGGAAACTTTAGGCATAAAGCTGCATTTTCAATAGACATATATAATTGATTATGTGGAATCTCACATAATTTTTTACTTTTTAATTTTTTTAAAATTGGTGCACTTTGGTAAGAAAGCAGGTAAGCCTGGGCACTAAATCCATCTCCAAGTATTTTGTAAGACTACAGTAAAAATTAATGTTATGTGTATTTTGCAATGATGTTAATGGAGCAATATGTACAAACATGTCTGCATGCATTTTGCTTTCACAAGCACATTACTCATTGTTGATCCAACTGCTGAAGAAGAAGATTTAGCAACTGGAACAGTAACTATTCACACTGATGAAGAAGGTAGACTATGTTCTGTCCATAAACCAGGTACTTCCAAATTTATTACAAAGAAAGCTATTGAGTTGATAACGTTTAGGTCAAGAAAAGACTAAGTACCTGCTCTGTTTTGTAAGATTTGGGTGCTTTATAGTAAGGAGTTTAATACTCATTAAATTACTTGTTCTTTAAATTAGTTTTTAAGATGGTGGCATGACTGAAGTTCAAAAAGAAGTCACAGCTTGACCTACATACAGCAGAGGATAGATTTTGAGCATGTCTCCTGTTACAGCTCTAGTTTGTTTCCATTATCCTTGCCTGAGGCTAGAGCTGGGAAAGCTGCATGCTCCCTATGAAAGGTGTTGGTCATGAGAATTACTGTATTAATACTCTCATTTGGAAATCACATTTAGAAATACATAACCGAAGAATAAGTAGAAAATCAAAAAATTGTTCCCTTTAATTTTTAGGTGGAAGTCCTCTTACAGAAGCCAAGCTTCAGGACTGTATCACCAGAGCAATTACAAGACACAAAGAAGTAAAGAAGCCAATAGACAAAGTAATAAAAAGTATAATGCCCAAGTGAACAAAAGGACAGAGCTTTTCAAAAATGGATTTGTAAAAATGTATTTGTTACAGTGTTCACAAACCTTTTACACTAAATAAACAAATACCAGTACTACCTTTACAAAGTTCATTTTTTCTAAAATGTTTTTCACCCTTATTCTATGTACAATGCTGTTAAGTGGTAAAAAATACAAGATAAAACATTCTGTTAAAAAATTTACTTAAGGAAACCAGACCTAGCTGCTTTATAGATGAAATTTCTAGGTTCTGTAGGGCTGGCTTCCAAAATCAGTTCATTCTTTTAGTGTAATGTCAAAAGTTAATTTTCCCACCAGTAATAAAAAACACTGATTTAACTTTAGGCTTTCTCCTTATTAATCTGAAAAAAATCCCCTTTGAATCAATTTTTTGGGGAGGAGGCAAGTCTCATGATTTTGGAGGGGCTGGTGTGCCTCTTTTCCTTTTACTTTTTGAGTGGCTGCCTGAATGCTGTTGATGATGCAGGTGAGCTGCTTGTGCTGCTGCTGCCGCTGCCATAGCCATTTGACGCTGCAAGAATCGCAACTGCTGCCATGAAGGAGAAGGGGGAGAAAAAGCTTGTTAGTGTTGACAATAAAGCTTTCACATCAGGAAGAATGAGAGGAAGGTGGGGGGGAGGGGGGAAGGTAGAAAAATGAGGAAGCACCAGGTTGACAAAAGGAACACACCATGTACTGGGGCAATGGGTACAGTCAAGCAGCACCAGTGGCACAGAAGCCTGCTGAGGGCACAGCTAACATTTTAAATGTGTATGTGCCCAGCTTTGTTTCTTTGCCCATTCTCTCCATTGCAGTAACTTCAGTAACTCAGCAACTTCTGGGAAAATTTGGTTACATTGTACATTTTTAACACAATACCTTCTCAGTGTGTGCATCGTATGTAATTTCTGTATACATTACAAAGAGGAGACTGTGTGCTGAAAAAATATTAAAATATTTTCATAAAGCATCTGGTTGACAGAATGGTAAAAGGAATGCTTTGTAGAGCTGTTGCTTCCATGTACTGATTGTAGCAGTGCTGCATTTGAACTTGCAGGTGCTTACATTCTATTGGCACCTGGCAGAACTGATTTAGATATGTGCCACAAGCACCCCTTGAATGTTGCAAATCAGGAATGTGGATGGCTTAAATGAATAAAAATAAATTCAGTGCTCCGAGCTGAGAGAACAACAAATTATAGATCTTGCATGATGATTTGACAAATTCACATTTGGTTGGTTGGTTGGTGTTTTTGTAACTTGTGAGACCATAGTGACATTAGTTAAAGAAGTCAAAAGGGCAAGATTTTTGATTTTGGAGCCAAGAATTGTATTTTTGGCTTTTTTTGTTTGGTTGGTTTTTTCTTCTTTTTTTTTTTTTTTTTTTTTTTTTTTTTTTTTTTTTTTTTTTTTTGGTTGGTTGTTTTGTTTTTAAACACAGTCAGAGTGAAGTTGCTGGATTACTTGTATCTGTTGCTGCTGCAAGGTTTGCTGCTGTTGCAAGGCAGAAGAGAGCTGGAGTCTCTGCTGAGGAAGGCTTTGCCCAGGTCTGTTCACGGCAGAGCCAAGCTGAGACAACACTAAGAAAGGAGAACGGGAAAGCAGGCAGGTCAAAGAGGTCAGGTTGAGTTTGTCAGGGTTGGGGAACGAAGACATAGGAATACAATGTAACATAGGAATACAGGAAAGGGGGATCAACAGAATTAGTTTCAGAATCAAATTGGAAACAGTGCAGAATAAGGTATACATGATATACATACTCTGTTAGAACATAGTTAGATTATGAAGTGCTTGTGGAGGCACAAAGAGGTTTCTCACACTGAATGTTAAGCACAGAGTTAAAGAATTATTCCTCAATGAAGTCTGGCATGAAAGTTCCCTGCATTTTCTTTTTATATTAAGCGTAGCTTATTTTCATGTGATACAATCAATTGACTGCACTTAACTGCCAAATAAAATAGAGCAGTGCATGTGTTAAAAGTCCAGTATCGTGTAATTCACATGTTGATAATAATAAATTGTTCTGATCTTGTTAACATATGACTTCTTTTAAGACCAAACTTCATTTCAGTGTGAATTTATCAATATACACACTTAACTACAAAAGGAGGCTCAGCAAGCACATACCTGTGGCTTGAGGTTGCATAAAATTCCCTACTCCGGTCAGGTTAATTACAGCAGCTTGTTGGGCAGATAATGCCTGATCTTGATTGGATGGACCTTGGTCAGACCCCTAGCAAAAATGAAAAGCTTGATCCTTATTACCAAACTTTGGTATCAATGAATAAGCTAACAAAGCCAGTGCGAAGGCAAACTTTTGAAGTGCCATTTAAAAACATTTATTGCTACGTCATCCAGCACATGTAGATGCAGGTTATAATGCAGTCACGACAAGTAGGACAGATGTTGATTGCGCCAAAACAGCTTTGTTTTGGTAGAAAATGGTACTGCACTTGTTACCCTGAAGACGTCCCATGTAGCTGTCAACTTCCCTGCAGTCTAGCAGAGACTGAACTTTATAGTTGTGATCTTATGACTATTTCCTGTCTCACTCCCAGCCCCAGAGTCTTCAGGTGACCCTGAAACCATCCACGTGCAAAGGTCCTAATCAATTAAAGTGTGCAAGCCCGACACTTTACTTTACCATGCTCATATTGTGCCACACATTCCTTAATTTCATAAAAAATATAAACTCTGCTTTTAAAATTGTATTTTCAGAAGAGAGTAGTTCTCAAGTAATCACTCGGAGTAAGTGCAGTCTGACAGTATCTCCTGAAGTCAAAGGGTGCTGAATAATGACCTCTTCTAGAACTTAAATTATGCATTGATTTAGAACATAGGGAAACAAAGCATTATGTTCACAATCCAAGCAAGCTGCATGGCTTATCAGTCAGATAAAGAGCTGGTGCATTCCAGGAGTTGTGATGCTTCTTTAGCATAACCATATGATATAATGCCACTAATATCTAAGTAAACCAAATCAAAAGATTGCACATTAAGACAACATCATCAACTCAGTGATGACTAAGACTTACAGAGTCACAGAACCACAATGTGGAGAAAACCGTAAGAATGACATGAGAATACATATATTCTGTTGGTAGCCAAGAAAATTGTTGGACTTTTAGGGCTTAGTTTGTTTCCACTAAGCACTATACACCATAAAACATTTGAGACAGGCATCTTGTTATGAACAGTCTACAGTTGCACATGGGAAATTATTATGACAAACTTCAGTATCCAGCAGAGACTATTTGGTAAGCAGAAATCTTGCATGTCTGGGAAGATGAACACAAAAGCAGAGCAGCTTGTTTTCCCAAACTGCTGGATGAGTGTTGGTAAAGATTTTTAAGTGCAGGTAGAACTAACCACTCAAAATTTGTCATTTTGAGAACAGGTCTTGAGAACAAGACTTTGGACTTTTTCAATGCTTAAAGCCTTTAACACGAATTACAAGTAGCAGTAGAGCAAATGTCTTAAGATTACAGCTTTAAAGCCAACTGATACTTCTTTTGGTGCAAAGAAAATTCTGTTGAACTACAGCAGTGAGGATGGTAAGCCAACTCACAGCAGTGTAAGCAGGAAGCTTTAGTTAACTCTGCAATAATCCTGGGTTTTGATTTTTTTTTTGTTCATCTGATGTATCTGCTAGTTATGATAAACATTAACACTAAGGTGATTTTACACCACTCATACAGTAGGCTGTCTCTCTTTATGATAAGAGTTAGAAAATGCTCAGCCAGTTGTTTTTTCACAGCCCTTCTATACAGGATACTAATGTAGGAGTATAACCCAGTTAGCAACAGAGCCACTGCAGTCTTTGTTGTTTGAGAAGATTTAGAAGGAAGACTTTCCTCCCTCACTGCTACAGATCTGTTGGGTAAAGGCTCATTTACTTGTGAAGATGGAGAGAATTGGAGAAACTGTTTTATCCATGCACCCCAGACTGAGAGCTGTTAGCACATACCTATTCTCCCTGTTGCTGAGGACTACAGGTTGTGGGCTGCTGAGATTATTAGGTAGAAATGTGTGTGCTGCTGCTGCTGGAGTGGGTTAAAAATAAATGAACCACCTGGAAGCTGTTGAAGATTTTAAAAAAAAGGCATAATCCAAACTGCTGAGTTTCCTGCTGTTCTAGGATGAACATAACATTGATAATGACATACTCCCTAGAGGTTTGGTTTTTGTTTTCTTTTTTAAATCCTTTAAAATCAATAAGTTTACAATTGCTGCTGTTTATGAAAAAGTCTTATGTTTTGAAAACAAATTTGCGTGAAATTGTAGTGAGATATGTCCACAGAAAAATACATTTTAATTATTCTAATTAAAACAGTATTGTACTGAAACTGAAAATGTAAATGTTAGCCTTCAAAAGCCCTGGATATCGTTTCCAGTTTCAGAATATTCTACTGAGATGATAGTGAGATGGCCTTGATTCCTCTTCCTTACCCCAGCTTTAATTGCACTGATTTCGGCCAAATATTCTTGGTGTATATGAGTGGTAGAGCTAGCTTGAAAGGATGTACTTCAGTGTGGAGTCACACAAATACAAATATTTAGATCTATAAAGAGCTCTACTCTGGTATAATTGCCTCCTGTGCCTCCCTTTTCCCTGTTTCTGGCATGTGTACAGGAGTGGGAGAAGGAAGTGGCAAAGCTACAGCTGTTCTTTCACTGGTAATAATTTTTGAAGCATGGTGCAGCACACATGGATCACTGTGGCTGCAGTTCTGCACCTGTAACTGGCAGCTGACTTCAAGATCTGGGAACTCTACCCAGTTCCACAAACAGTCCCTGTTCTGCTTTTAAATGCAACTCTGGCACAATAAGCAATATTCTGCTCATGTTTGTATTTGTACGCATGCTTAGTGGAAAGAAAGCATTTATAGACCTTCTAAACTCCCTATCTTACATGAGCTTCTATTTCCATTACCAGAAACTCTTTAAACCTATTACTGTACTTACCTGGGCATGCTGAGCTCAGGTTTTAGGCATTCTATGTGTAACCCCTGGTACTGTACTGTTTTGTACAGTATAATCATAATTTCAGTATAGAGAAAGATTTGCAATAAGAGTTTAGGCAAATCCTGAAAACAGAAGATTGTATTTTAGTATTAATCTTTTGAATTCAAATGTCAGCATTTTTAGATTGTTACTGAAAATTAACTGCTTTGTTCTGAGCTAGGAATATAATTTCCACCTGGTATCTCCATGGATGTAGCTTTTTCTCTTATTCTAAGAATTTTAAATAAGCAAATAAAATTTGCAGTAAATGGTCTGACCAACTGGCTCCAAAGATCTGTGCGGGGCAGTGCAGTAAACAGGTCTCTATAGAAAGATAAGAAATTATCATTCTTATTGTGTCCGAGTATATCAATTACCTGTAGAAGATTTAAGGGCCGAAGATTTGATGTATTTTTCAAACCAAAGGGGCTGCCTGTTAAAGAGAACATCTTTTCATTAGTAGGGAGTCTTTACTCAGTTATATTTGTGTATTGCAATACACCTTTCCACTGGGACTGTTTCTAAACATTTGGAAGTTGTAAAACTGGCAAGTGTAAATTTTGTATTTAACACAATGCCGCATTTTCCATAATGTAAAGCTCATAGTTATTCAGACTCAAAGTACAAGAGAGCTGTATTTCTACTAAACACCGTACCTTGTAACCTATAACTTGCTAATGCATTTACACAAAGGTGAATGGAGAATCCTAGCAGTTACTCTTCAGTGATTCTTATTCTGCCTTTAAAAACTTTTACTATTTGTACAGTAAATCCAAAAAAGTCCACGGTCTCGATGAAATAACACACTCTCAGTTTATCAACCTTTAACAGAAAATAATTCCACACAAAATCTGAGCAACTCTCCAGTAAGCCAGCAGCTCTCAAGCAGAACCCCTGGAGGTCCAGCTCAGCTCACTACTCCCATCTGTTTTGTGGGCAACAGCATAGCATAGAAAAATCTGTGACACCAAACTGTAAAAGTTGGTAGTGCTTGAAAGGACAGAGTTAGACTAAAAGCAATCCTAGTGAATTGAACAAATGGTCCAAAATTCATTAACACTGAATTTAAAAAAGACAAATGAACAAGTACAAACTTGTAACTAGCTTTGTGTCTATACAGCAAGAAAAGACAAGAGAAGTTACAATAAGTCACAAACGTATCCAAGTCATTCATATCACAAACTACAGAGGACAGAAAAAAAAAGAACTTCTTCAGAAAGTTTACATTTATAAAATTCACTGTCACAAGATGCTGTAGGTTCCAGAAATATAAATGGGTTCAAAAACCAATTAGATAAATCCACAGACCAGAAATCTAGCATGGGATATTAAGCACAAAGATCCATGTGGATATTCTTCAGCTTCGAAAGTCTCAAAGCTGTAGATTGCCAAAAGAGGTACAGTTGTATAAAGGGATTGTTTTACTTCACACTTTTGCCTCATCTTAAACTCTTTCCTCAGTATCCTCTAATGGCAACTGGCAGGGACAGAATATAAACTGGATGGATTTTTGGCTTAAACCAGTAAAGCCAATCTTATGTTAATGTAACGCTGTTGCAAAAAATAACAGATAAAAAATAGGCAGACCTCATTTGGGGAAATGTTAACAGGAATGTTGTGAAAGAGATGAGATGCATTTATTCTGCTGTGCTCCACAGTGGTAAATCAGCCAAGCTCAGGCTTGTGTCCAGTTTTGGTTATCACATTTTAAGAAGGATGTAAGCAAATTGGACAGTCTAGAAGAGAGTGACAGGATTATGAAAGGTTTGAAAAATACGACCTATCAGAAAGAGAAGACAAATGTGGGACATGACAGCATGTTTGATATTTAGAAGGTAAAGGGTGAACGACCATTTTTCATGTCTGAAAGGTACAGGAGAAAAAAAAATAACTTGTAGTTAAGGGTATGCACTGTAATTAAAAGGAAACATTTTGCACGGATAATAAACTACTCCAAACAGCTACTGAGGAAGATTGGAATCTTCTTTAGTGAAGGTATTTAAAGACAATTTAGATAAACGTTAGTTCTGCATGGTTTAGACAGATTTGACTGTCTTAGCATAAGGGACAGATATCTTGAAGTCTCCCATCATTCTCATTCTATAATCATACATTAGGGTTTTTTCTTTACTGTATGTTCAGAAAAAATAAACTGAGAATTTAAATTGGGCTTTTAAGATTTATATAGTCACACTTGAAGGCAATAAGGGATTACTTAATTATTGTACTAGAAGAAAGTAGTACCAGGGACAGAATAGAGTGCCTCACACATTTAAAAAGTGAGGTCTCTTTCTAAATTCAGTCATGCCCTTTCTCTGGCAGTTATCATTATCAAAGTTGCATTTGAATTTGGAATTTCTCTCAAACTTCCTACTGAGTGTACCAAACAATCCAGGTTTTGAGAGTGTATCCCCAGTCTAGCTCACCGAAAATCAACTTCAAACGATCTCCAACACTGTCTATACTTTGAATGCAAAAACACATACGTTATTCCTGAGCTCCAGCCATCAAAAACACAATCTATTCACACAATGGCCACTTTCATCCATTTTTCTCACAAAATGTTCTCACGCTGTCCCTATCTGAAGGGTGGCTTTTCAACTGAGTCACACTGACCTGCTTGAGAGGCAGACTGCATTGCAGCGGGCAGCGCACTTGGTACCAGACCTCCTGATGGTAAAATGCCACTCAGATTTATACCTGCAGGGGCTATGGCACCAGTGTTGCACCCCAGCATAGGGTTTGAACCACTCATCAGGGACTGTGCTCCACTGTAGAAGAGGAAAGACAACACATCAAATCCAAGTGGCACTAGTGAATCTGAGTAAATTTTTTCCCTCTATCTTATGGCAAGTAAATCAATTGTTTGTTGTAAATGGGATTATGGATAGAGCATCAATGCAGCATGAAAAACCAATTGTTTTTGCCTAGAGCATAACATATATGTTCCATATTCTCAGCATATAAAGGTTTTTTAATTCTAAGGTATCAGCTAAGGACAGTAAACCACAAGCAATTCTTTTATTCTAGAAACACTAAAAGATCAACAGTCTTCAAAATGGTTGTACTACCTTAAAAGGTTTTTGTTTTCTTTTTGCCTTGTAGAAAATATCTGCAATTTATCAACAGTGATCACCTGCTGAACACCTTAGATGAATAATTCAAGTGTCTGATACTTGCAATGGAGCACACCATGTGTCTTATACTGACTATCTTAATTGCAGAATTTCATTTAGTTTAAAAAGCAGTTCATATTTCAAATTATTCTTGACAGCATTTATTATTTTCTTCAAACCACAAAGTGAGTTTTAAGGACTGAAGAATGTTTACTTCAGTGTTTGTTTAAATTGATCAAAACAAATCTGTTTCCATTTTTCATTTAAATTGGTCTGCATATGGTATTCTACCTCCTCTCAGACTAACACAAGTTTTCAAACTTTAAGAGTAAAACCTCAGAAACCAACTGAGGTTAAGCCTTAAGAAATATGACTCCAAAAAGATTAATGTAATAAACGTCTTTCTATTTGAGAAATAAAAATAGCTTCTAATGGCTCTTCACTTTGTAATTACAATAAGTGAGTGACCTTTTTGTATTGCAAATTCTGAAATTTATCTACCCTAATGGATGGTGGACAGTCCTGGACCGCTCTCCCCCTCCCACCAACCAACCCACGGCAAATTAGGAAACCATCATAACAAAAGACTTACCACACAGAGCCCACTACATTGATGAAGTTAAGTCCTGCAGGGTTTGCCATGACCTGGGTGGAGGTTGTTCCTGTAGTAATGGATGTTACCATGGTGGAAAGAGGAATGGTCATTACAGGCAATGCCTGGCTCAGAGACATTTGCTGCTGAGCAAATGGGGTTAACAAAGTGGGCTGAGGGGTGAAGCCTGAATCTTGGGGAGTAGGGGTGGCAGAAGGGGTAATAGGAGTTGAGCTCTGAGCATCAGGAGGGTGTGGGGTCGATGAAGGGGTGTTGGTTGGAGTAGGAGTAGATGGTTTAGGAGTTCCAGACCCTGCTCATTGAGAAAAATAAAAAGTGCTAGTTCGTTATAAAAGGCCAATCCTTTTTGTATAAGATTAATGGAATCTTACTTAGCACTGACAATTTGTTCTTTTTTAGACTGCAAGTGTTAATTTCTGCATGGCACGAGTGTTGCAGCACGCACTCATTGTTAAGGATGCAGTATAATCACAAAGAAAACCCATTCTCCATGCTTCGTTCCTTATGGCATATGCTGATTTGTGTCCTCCTTTAAGGCTTCCATAATTTATCGTACATTAAGTCATAACTCCATTCAGGAATACTTACAACAATTTCTTACTTCCACCTTTACCTAATTAATGTTTTTGTCCTAAACTGTTAAACATATACTATATATGCACTGTCTGCACAATAGCATAGTGTTAAAAACATATGGAAAACAACAGAGCCAACAAAGAACATGTCCTTTTTCAATCATCATGGGGTTGATCTAAATTTAATCAGATAGCTAAACTGCCATCTGCTAAATTTGAATCTAATAAAAAGCAATTATATAAGAACCAGAGGATAATATTGCATCTTTAAAAGCTACTGTGCAATTCCTTCTGCTTAAATGTAGCATGTACAACTGTATTTGTTGTGGATGCAGTAGCCAAAGTTTATCAATAGAAAAACAAAACATAACCCCCCCAAAAACTTGAGTTGTTTTTTTTTGTTTTCCTTTTTTTTTTTTTTTAGCTTTCATGTCCTGCAGAAAGAAAGGAAATAAATGTAAATGGTGACCAGAGCCTTAGTGTAACAACTGCATGCAGCAGATTTACACAATTCATAGCACTAACATAAAACCAAAGTCAATACGTTAGAAGAAAACTTTTATAGGTTTTCTTTTTTTTCTTTGTGCAAAACAAGAAGGTAGAAAATTTACACCTTTTGAGCAACCCAGTTTTTAAATTATTCAATGCAAAAAGCATTGTTATAATACTGTGCAGGATACTGGAATGTGCAGTGTAAAATTATTTGTAAGAAAACTGAGAAACTGAAGATATGGTTTCCTCTTTGTATAAATCTGTTCATGAAATGGCTCAAGACACATATGTATTTTAAACTTTTTTTTTACAATCTATAGCTATTACAACAATGAACCTATAAGTGTTAATGAAAATACTTAAATTAGGACATCACTTCTGATTGAAATTTGCATTTTAACACCTCAGGATATGGTGCTATCAGCAGCAGCATCACCACCACACTTACAATCAGCAATGATTTGTAAAACAGTGTAGGAGTGTTTTTAAAAAATCATCTTATCGTTTATTGTATCATCACCTTGGGACTGATCAGATTATATACATACATAGATACACAACTGCACCAGTTCCTATAACATTTAATAAACTAGATGCTTAAATTATGTAAAGGCAAACTGATCTAACATACTGTTTTTACACTGGAGGAAAAAAATCTACACTTTGGAATTTTATCACATCATCTACCAGCCTTTCATGTATGAGGAGATCATGCTAATTGCATAAAATGTATTAAAACGTATACACAGAGGGTGCATACATATATATACAGAAAACAAACACAGTTACAATAAACAGAAAATACATACAGTGAACAAGAGACCTGCCTAAAGCTGCACAACTTATACAATTTAGGGTACACTGTACACTTTAAGTTTCATCATTCCACAGGTTAAGAAGTTTATCTCAGGAAGCATTTACGCAAAAGCCTAAGATTTAATGGAGAATTTAGGTCGTGACTCACTTTGTGAAGAGCTCGCAGGAGACATGGCAGCTGGAGAGAGCATGCTAACTTGATTAAGATCCATAGACTGTTTCCGAGAAAGACCTGGAGGCTTAGAAGGAGGAGGAGGAGTTGGGGATTTTAGATGGCCACTTGACTGTTGTGAACTAAAAATATTACCTGAAAAAGCATAATTAAAATATATTATTGTTTTGTGAGTACAGATTGACTCAAATATTTGTTAGGATACAATTTTGTAGTCAATATAATCAGAAATCAAAAAAAAATATGCTCTTCTCACAGATGAGATACTGGTATTTTTTTTATTAAATCTTTACTATAGGGATATTCTGTAATTTTACAATGGGCAGAACACGCAAAAAGGAGAGGCTTGAGTCAATAAATAATTACCTGAAGAACTACTTCCTGAACTTGAAGGTAATTTGATAGGAGGAGGTCGGTGTTTTACACCTTTCCCCAGCACTGAAGACTGAACAGAACCTGATATGCTTTCTGGCTGCTGGGAGGAAAGAGAAATTAACACTACCACAGCAATGATGTGAGCTTCCACACAGTTGACAGAAAGACAATTCAATAATTTGTATTAAGACATCTCAAAACCATGACAAAATTCCCTTCAAACATTTCAGATTTTTATGTATTTATTTAAAAAAACTTAACCTATGACCAACTCCCTTTATCTAAAGTGTTTACTATCAAGAAGGAGCACGAAAGTGCTGGTAAAAATTGAAACTGAGCAAAATAAAGTCATTAAGGAGTTTCACTTTTCTCCATGTCTGAAATCCTTTAGTAATTTTCACAAATGCAAGAGTGACAAATGCACTTGAAGTAAAAGAACACTTTGGTTTTACTTGAAAAATTGTGTAATTTCATTCATTCCCTCTGCCATTTCCAACCAAGACAGATTTAAAGAACAGGATCAGAGTTCCTAATTCTAGGAATAGGATTTTAAATACATTCAGCAAAATCCTGAATGCACAGAAATCAAGACACGTTTCCCCACTGGCTTCAGTGGGATCAAAACTTCATTAATGTTTTTAGAGGGAAGATGCTCCCTTTTTATTTGCTCTTAAAATCTACTTATCAGACTATCTGAACATAACTTCAGCTACTTGACTCGGTAGTTTGCAGTCACTCACAACAGACCTAAATCCGTAACTCCAATAGCTGACGCTGTCAAAAGACTCAAGTATGAAACATATTTACAGTTATGGATAGTCTATGTATTTTTACATATAAAGCACGTATCCACAAATGAAAGTAGTGTCTAAACAAACATACAGCCAACAAACTGCTGAAACTAGAAAATGAGGCTGTTGATATGGTGAATGGAATATTTCAATGCTGGAGCCTAAATCAGATGTGCATGGGTTGAGAAATCAGGTCATTCTGCATTGTGCAGAATCACCCTTTTTGGCAAGCTTAGCTCCCACTGATTCTCAGTAATAAGAGAGTCCCTTTAAGTGTTTCTAATTGCTTGCTTATAAAAAAGAATCTTATGATGAAAATTTTGAGGACTACCTTTCTCTTCTCCTACTAAAATCTGCCTTCTTGGTTTTGAAAATAAAGACTAATGCCCCATTCCAAAGGTGACAAGACCATTGAATACAGTAAACCTGAGTAACTTTGGTCCAGATTTTGGTGGGGGCTTGCACAGGCAGGCAAGACGACTTCTGCAAGTACCCTCCCACCCCAAGTTATTATATGGTTTTAATGCATACATACCCATGTGCAAGTACATGCCCGTATGTGTATACACATAAACATTCGTATACCTTTCTGCAACTGCTGGCCTTGGAATGCTGCTGGTCTGGCTGACACCAAGAACTACCTCTTTCACAGCAATGCTGTTGGAGTTTAAAACTAGGTATTTAGGGGACGATGTAGCTAAGGAAATAGCCCAACAGATACAAATCTCATTTACTACTTGGAGCCTAAATACAGCTCACTTCTAAAGTACTGAATCTGACCAACAAAGCCAGAAGCAGAACGTAAAACAAGGGAATGCCAACAAGCAGGAAAATTTAGGAATACAATGAAATATATACATTTAAAAGTTCCTGGGTTTTTTTTGTTTGCTAGTTTTTTGTTTGAGTTTGGGTTTTTTTTTCTTGTTTTGTTTTGTGTTTTCCTCTTCAAAGTAAAGTGAAACTAATTTTAATTTTTAAAGGTAAAAGAAGTTTAGCTACTCCATATCCTTCTGTGTTTACTGACCTGCAAGATAAAACACATAGCTGCATTTTACTATACTGCTCTGTGAAAGGTTCATCTGAACAGGGGAAAATGTTAAAACAAAATCTTGGAGCTAACTACGCTATACAGAGCCAAAAGACCCCCGAAACATCTAAAAGACAACATCTGAACACTGAAAACAAACGCTTTAACTCTTCCAAGGAATGATCGTGACCACAACACATTTAAAAATTCATTCAGGCTGACATTTTAAGGTTATTTTACTTTTAAATGTGGATAGCAAAAATTATACTGAGATTAACTTGGGTGGTTAGAGCACATGCTAATAATACCAAGGTCATGCTGCGATTCCCGTATGGGTCATTCACTTAAGAGTTGATGATCCTTGTGGGTCCCTTCCAACTCTAAAGATTCTTTGAAACAAACAAAGCAATCTTTGAAATTCTAGTAATTCAGTAATTAAGGGCAACTAAAAAATGTGTGGCTGAATAAACTCACTTCCATTTCCTTCCCTGGAGAAAGATGACTAAGATTGACTGATCCACTTGAGTTATGAAATATTTTCACAGGACATTTAGCTTCACTTTGTACTAACTCCTGATACTGGTTCACCACCCTGAAACAAACAATGAGGACATAAAAAGATTAACAACTTTTAATGTCTAAAGCAGATACATATATAAAAAACACAAAATTGCATATGTTATGGTCATATATTTTATATATTATGTAAGCATATCTCTATATAAAATCGATATGCACATACATAGAGATATAAATATTTTTTATATATCTTTCTACATTACGTTCCTGGACTCTTAGGTTTATTCCATTTTACCTTTTAATCCCTGTCTTTTTTTTCTGATGCAAAATACAATGTAAGAAACACTTTTAGAGGAATATGGAAAACAGTAGATAGAGTAGTTCCCTTCCTGAAAGCAACTACAGGTCTTTGGGATTTCAGTCAATGGGGATCCCATTCCTTTCACAGAGGCCCAGAATCTTTTATAAAGGTGTCTCTTCTGCTTATGCTCCCTGTGGAGCAGTCAAACCCTCCTTTAACTTGACGTCTATGTCAGATGAGGAGTCTAAATGCAAGGGATGAACAATCACTCCTCTTCGAGCATCATGACAGACATTTGAAAAAGCATCAATAGCATCAGGCAAACAAATTTAAAATACTGTTCTATCAAATCAAATACTACATCTCTACTAATCTTAGACAACCAAGTTGAGAGAAAACTGTTTCACAAATATGAGCAGATCACACAAAGTGACATTGCAGATTTCAAAAATCAAGCTGAAGTGCTGTTGTCACTTACAGACCAAACCTCAATGAAAAAGTGATGGAATATTCTATTATCTTACACTTAAACATAATGAACTACACTTTATTTTGGTATAGCACTGATTCTGTAATATGCTGTTACTTGACTAATGTAGACCCAAGCAAGGGCCCTGAGATACACAACAGAGGAAAGGGTGCAGCATACTTTTTTCAGCAATTAGATTTCAGACTGACTGAAAATTACAGCAGAATTAAGATGCCAAAAAAAAATGCCATGTACTCAAAAAGGTGGTCCTGCCCTCCTCTGTTGTTGCATCTTGTCCTAGTCCCTGAAATCCAATTTTGATTCTGACAGAAGGACTTGTGCAATCAAGTGACAAGCGGGATCAGGAAACCAGTCCCAGTTACAACTAGGTCCCTGTATTATTGTTTTAGTTTTCAGACAGCCAATCCCCCAATTCAGCTTACAGAACAAACAGCAAAAGTTTCAGCACAAAGGAGGCAGGAGAGAATATAAGCAAAGGGTTTCTCGATCAAAATCACCTATTCAAAAAAAGAACATGATTACTGATTTTTGATCAAATCAAAGACTCATTTCCCTGCCAGGCACATAAGATAGGGATAAGAGCTATGGCATGCACATTAGCTCGAGGTATCCTATGGAGGCACAAAAACACAACTGCCTTTGACAGAGGTTGCTTTATAAAGGTTCTGTGTTCATATGCACAGGTATCTAACATGATGCCTGTTAACAATCATTTGAAAAAAAACATTTATGCCCATTATCCCTGAACTGCTACTCCTACTCATTCTATGACTAAAATATACTGAAAAGCGGTTTTATTACTTGCTTCTCTAGGATAGCTGAATCAGTTAATGCACAACCCACAAAAGCAAGTTGTATAAATTTTAAGTCTTAGATTACACTTCAAATGACAAGTTCAAATGTACCATTTCCATGACTGGTAATTTACCATACAAAATGTCAGGATGGAATTCCTGCTAAGTGCTCTCAGAGTCTCAGAGTACAACAAACTGTACTCACATATTTGATTTCCTCTATTCTTTCTTGCTCCTTAAATACAAAAACTACACACTATATTCTACTTCTTATGATGATTAATTTCCTCTTATTTCTCCTCATCTGTTCTGCATCTGTTTCCATAACCATAACATTAGCAGTCATAATGGCTAAAAGGAACAAATTCATTATTTGACATCAAACCAAATGGCTGTATATACTATATTAAATTACCTTTCAGCATCAGTCTTCGAACCAATAAGGAACCTAAAATGTAAAATACATTTTCAGTCATGAATTGGACTAAAAGATCATATTTTTAAAATCACAAGACTTCAAACAAATGTCAGTGCTGCCTTTTTTTCCAGACCTGCTCAAAATACAAGTGAGAATGTATCCACTCAATGGACTGGGTATTATTCAGTATTGAAATACATACTTGACTTCCAAACTATATATACGATATACACACATGGTCTAATATAGTCTCCTTTAGGAGTAAATTACCTACAAAGAAAGAGGCAGAGTATGGAAGTTTTGGATCTTATATTTTCAAAAAAATGGACCTAACTGCTAGAGAATTGTAACTGTAAAGTACAAAATTATGTATAAATCAACAAATCATTATGCTCACACTGAAATATAACTGTCCTGAGGGTATGTCAAAAGCAGCCCTACCCACAATATTTTAGCACATATTTTGTTTCCATTGTTTGATTTCACTTATGCAAATTCCAATTCCCAGTGATTTTCCATCCCTCCTAAATAAGTATTTCTCTTTTGCATAACACTTTCAGCTTGCAAACTTATTACGGCAATGACTCATTAATACTTTTTTCCTCTCTCTCCAGCTCCAAAAGTAAGAAAAAATATTTTAAAAACAATGTTTTATTTTACTGAACAAATTTTATTTTGTATGACTATTTGCTAATGAGGAATTATCCAAGTTTTGATGAACTTTAGTTGGCAATGTCTTAATGATGAATTCCAACATCCCCTCCCCCAGGCATCTAATACCTCTAAATCCATTTAACTCCCAGCGTTATTACACAATTCTAAGCTAGCACTGCTGTTTTAGGAAGATAAATTCTAAGTATTTGTGCTGGTTTTGGCTGGGGTAGAGTTAACTTTCTCCATAGTAGCTGATATAGAGCTGTGTTTTGGATTTGTGATGAAAATAGTGTTAATAATACATGGGTGTTTTAGGTATTCCTGAGCGGTACCTACAAAGTTCCTTTTTGTCTCTCAACAGCAAGTGGGCTTGAGATTCACAAGTTGGGAAGTGATACTGCAAGGACAGCTTACCCATGATATTCCATATCATATGGCATCATGTATAGCATAGAAAACCAGTGGAAAAAGAAAGAAAAGGGGTAGGGGAGTAAAAGAAAAGGGTGATGGTGTTTGTCTTTCCCAGTAATCATTAGGTATGATGGGGCCCTGCTCTCTCTCAGACAGATGAACACCTGCCTGCCCACGGGAAGCAGTGAATAAATTCCTTGCTTTGCTTTGCTTGCGTGTGTGGGTTTTCCTTTACCTATTAAATTGTCTTTATCTCAACCAACAAGTTTCCTCACTCTTACCCTTCCAATTCTTTCCCCCATCCCACCAGGGAGGCAGGGGGAGGAGGGGCAGAGTGAGTGCCTGCATGGCTCTTAGTTGCCAGCTGAAGTTAAACCACAACAGTATGGAAACAAACTGTAAACAGGTCAAGTCTATGGATAAAATATTCTTAATACTCAAGATGTTTTAAGATTTGGATAAAAAATTAGAGGAAAATCGCATACTAGACAATAAAAATAATTTGCATTAGCAAAACTAAAAAGTTTGCTAAGGCTAACTGCTCCTTGCCTTACTGAAATTTATAGGTTCTGCTCTGCTGTACAGGTTCCTCCATACAAGTAATCTAGTGCATACAACAAAAAGAGCTAAGAACAGAAAATCTTTGTAGAACCACAGTCAAAAACAGCATATTCAAAACAATTCAAAATTAAAAAGCTTCTTAGAAACTTATGTTTTCCTTCACGTATTTAGCTTTAAATTTCTCTGTCTAAGGGTAAAGAGAATATAGTCAGGTCTTAAGCTTTCACAGCATCAGGGAAATTTTAAGAACAATCAAAATTCTGAATAACACTAAAGAAGAGTGCAACAACATCTCATGGCATCTCCACAATTTGCGTGGATTGTGTTTGTGGGTGATTGTTTTTACCCCCAATATATCTTCAATGTAAAAGAACACGCAAATTTAACATAAAAGTACATTAAATATATTTTGTTTGGCATTGTTTTTTGTTAAAAACTCATAAATCAGATTTTAGCTCTGGAGTATTTTTATGACTGAAAATGACAAATAATGTTTGTATTCCTTCATCTATCAGATCACAGCACAGTTTAAAAGAGCATGTAACTTACTGTGATGGAGTTAATAGGTTGTCATTTTCCTCATCACCTTTGAGTGTCTGAATTTTACCATAGTACAAGGGATTGCCAAGAGACTGGAAAATGGTCAGCTTTGTTTTTTGAAGCTGATTACCAACTTCACATTCAAATACATAATCATCTTTTATTTCCTAAAGAGACAGAAGAAAATAACCTAGTAAGTCTTGAACGAGTGTTAGCAGAACCAGTGAGTAAAACAGACCAGCTCTATACACAATATAGTAAGAAACATTCTATAAGTAACTCTGTAAGTAAAACTCTATAGGAAGGAGTGCATGATCTGAAAAAGTGTTTTGAGAGTAAGTTATCGGAAGGGATGAAAGGAAAAACAAATGTATCATCTCTTTAAAAACACAAACATATTGCAAAACCTAAACAATCATGTTAGTCATGGAAAGGCAGACTAGGAAAACACATACAGGAACAGTTTTATATGAATTATGACAATGCAAAAAATCTTCAGAGTAAAATGTTGGGAGTGAAGATTAAGTTCTGTGGGAAAGTATTACTTTTTTCCAATATGAAACTACAAAGACATCATCATATATGCTGTTAATAGAGATAATATCTTGCGTCTAAAATTATAAAAAGTTAACCAATTATCTATGGCCGATTATATTAAATTACTACTTCTTATCAAATAACGTAATTTGTGCCAAAAATCTTGAGGTTCAACTTATATATTACAGAAAGAGCTTTTGTAAGTGGCATTTATACTAATCTTTTTCAAAATTTAACATTTTGATTTTAACTGAACTCTTTTCCATCAGCATTGGAGTGTCTGAGTAAAGAAAGCAATTTGTTGAGCAGAGTATTGCTGCCTGTAAATTATTATGCTTTCTTTACTGTTAGCTGCTCTTCCTCGTATTTCTGGAAAACCTGAGGAAATTACAAGGTATCCTTGCTGTACTGTAGAAGATTACAAGTATCTCTGGTAATATTACCATGTCTATATAAGATTATTCCTACATTACTCTGATTTTGTTGAAATAAGAGGCATTTTAACTAGAGACAGCAAAGTTTGGCCAAAGGTCTAAACTACTCACATGTGCTGGCCAGACAGTTGGTTGTGAGTCATCAGGTTTGATAGACTTTTCCACTTTGGCATATTTTTCCACCTTAAAGAAAACAGATCAGAAAAGAAAGAATCCCCTATTTTATGCATTAGGAAAAACTAAATTGGAGAATCTTCAGAACTTGACACTTACAGTAGTATTATGCCATATTTGCTATGTTAAACAACAAAAGAGTGAAACAGCTTAAGACTACAGTTTGAAATAATTATCTGCAATATGGAACGATTAAGAAATTTCACAATACCAGTAACTCCTAAAACCTATGATTAGGTCAGGTACAACACAGTTGAAGTGAAAAAAGTACAAACTTACACCATCATTTCATGCGTAATGCACATTCTTGCCAGCCCTATGATGTCCAAAGCTACAGTCTTGTCTAGTCTATAAAGTCTTGCAGAAGACTCAGTAGACTACAGAAGACTTGTGGAAAGGGACTTGGGGATCCTGGTTGACAGCAAGTTGAATATGAATCAGCAGTGCCCTGGCAGCCAGGAAGGCCAACTGTGTCCTGGGGGGGCATCATGAAAAGCATTGCCAGCCAGTTGAGGGAGGGGGTTGTCCCGCTCTGCTCTGCACTGGGGCAGCCTCACCTTGAATACTGTGTGCAGTTTTGGGCACCACAATGTAAGGATATAAAGCTATTAGAGAGTGACAGGGACAAGAAGGGAAAAGAAGGTGAAGGGCCTTGAGGGGAAGTTGTATGAGAAGCAGCTGAGGTCACTTGGTCTGTTCAGCCTGGAGAAGAAGAAACTGAGGGGAGACCTCATTGCAGGCTACAACTTCCTCATAAGTTACAACTGCAGTGTGGTTTCACTTGTGTTTATACCTTACGGTATAGAAAAGTAATTGTAAAAGGTAAAGTTACCCCATTTTTTCTTTGATACTGGATACTCTTTAGTCACTTCATATAATACAGCATGCAATACAATTGCTAATAATTGCTAATGGTAACAACTGGTCTTACGTCTACTTCAGAAGGTGCAGTCAAGTAGCAAGGGTTCTGTTTCCACATATCTACGCACTGGAAAATGGAAAAGCAGGATTAATATATTCAATGTTTCAATTAAATTGTTAGAAGCATATGAAATTACTTCTCAGAGCACTTACATTGCCAGCTTTAGAAATTTTGAGGTCATATTGCTGGGTTGCTTTCCTCTCCTTCCTTTTCTGTAAGTAGTCAAGAAGTCTGAGCTGAGGTGGAGTTGAGTTGTGAGCTACTTCCTGCTGTCTGTTCAGAGAGGACCTTGAGTACCTTTTAAAGCACCTATGGCAAAATGATACAACCTTGTAAACCCATCAACATTAAATTCTCCACTGCCTGTGTACAAACACAAAAATATGCAGAGGACTCCTAATTACATTGAGATGAATAGGTTTTTAAATATCAATTTAAAATTGCTTTTCTGGATTACACTGTACAACTCTAACTTTTTATTTTATATTTATAAAATACGCTAATATTCTGTTCATGTGTTTCAGTACTAAGAATGGGGTTATTTTTTTAATGCATAATTGAATTGAACATTATCAAAAGGAGTATTTGATAAGTTGCCAAGCTTAAAATATTTGTATATTATCACAGATTTCAGTTCCATCAAAAGATCTTTGTACTGCTTATGTAACTACAAACACAGTAACTGCCCTCGATTTGTTTCATGACAAACTTGTTGCTGCAGTAATGCTGTTCTGGACATTCATTTAACACCTTTGCCTATTTCTCTAGTGGAACATTTGTTGATCACCAAGCTATAATTTCAAGGACAGCTTGATCAATTTCACTATTCATACTTTTAGACATTGCCACTAGTTTTGCACCAGCACAGTATTTCAATACAGATCTAGTTTTAAATATTTCAGTAATTCTGAAAGACTATTCGTATATTTCCCTTCTACAGAGTGAACGCAACTCTTGGAGCAGAACAAATATAAACCATTTCAAGCATGTGTGGGAAAAATAAAAGTGAACAATCATGAATAAAAATGAAATAATTTCAACTTTTCCAAGATTCTGATATGCCTACACTTCTGTTTAGCCTGAACATCAAACATACAAGTAATTCCCTTGATTTCCTCATTCAGGATTAAGCTTATACATAGTTTTTAACAGATAAGAGACCAATATGCAACATATCAATTTAAATATTTCACAATACTGAGCTGCCATCTGACTCGGCCTACACATAAATTATGCAAAAAAAAAAGAAAAAAGGAAAAATCCAAACTGCAGTATAACAAATTATGTTGAAAAAATATATATACACACTTTCCTTGGATATAAGAAAATAAGCACAGTACAATATCTACTACTAACTGAAATACAGTATGATATTGAGCACTTTGAAATAAGATACAATTTCTTGACTGCTCCTCACCCAACCCTGATATTTCAGTATTTCATTTGAGTAGCTAAATTTTCACATAAAGCATTACTTATATTTTTCTTTGAAAATGTTTCACACTGAAAACTACCGTTTCATGGGGCGAGTGTTCATCTTCTGCTTGTTGTACAGGAGCCTGTTTGTAGTACACGTCACTGCTATTGAAGGATCAAGACACAAAGGCTCTGCTGTAGCCAAAATAAGTTGGCTCTCAAGTAGGAGTTTGTCCTCCTGTAATATACACAGTTATTAATAAATGTAAAAATATGAAAACTTTTACAATAATTAAGCTCTTATATACCTATGCACATGGACATCATCTTAGAGAAAACTGAAAAAACTGTGTGTGCTGTTCAACAATTAAGTATTCCTAACCATTATTATCAGTTACAGAGCTTGGGTAGGGTTTCCAGTAGGAAAAAAAAAACAAGAAATCTTCTGAAAAGCAGAAGCCATGTTCTGGGGGTTTTTTTGTGTGAGTTTTCTTTGTTTGCTTGCTTTAAACACAGTAGTAGTGGCAATGAAATCCATTTTCTGACAGTGATTTATACTGATGTACTGGCAATCAGTGCCATAAAGATGATCTACCGGTTACAATTTGAATCAGATTTGAGCATGACTGTGGCTCTGAAATACAAACAAGAACACTGAGTACATTACACTGCTAAGCAATTCACTAACTGTAACTGTACAACTGTAGTTACTTCAGATTCTCTTTACTTTAAAAGTATCAATAGTAAAATAAAGGTGGAGGAGCAATTGTGTCATTAGATTGCCAGTGCTGTTCTGGGGCTGCACGCTGAAGATGAATGAAGTAGGGTAAACTACTTATAGTCACTCCAAGGCTGTCACTTTGCACTTCCAAAAATTAAGGTCTGACTCCACAAAATCTATAGCAAATCCCATTGTATTCTATGGTTTCTTGTGGAAGGATGCTACTAAGTTAATTTGGCAGCTCTCTGAAGCATGTACCATGCACACCTCTACACACTGACTATATGAATTAATAAAAAAGGAGTAAGTTCTATATTTATTAAATTATTTAAATTTTTGTATTTGTTTAATTTTATCACGTATTTATGACCTCACTGTAAACTTTTAAAATAACCTTTAACCTACCTGTGTCCATTTGTGGTTGTCACTTGTTATAGAATGCACATCACAAATTAAAGTCTGAGGAAGAAGACATAATGGTAATTAGCTTTCAACTGAGTAATAAGATTTCTTCACATACATTCTGTAATAGTACATATCCAGTCTAGGAACTATGGTAACACTGAGAAATTACTTAAGCCACTTTTTACCTGCATTGTAGGACGCAAAAGAATGTGTTTGCTTTGGTATGTTGGAGATTTCATGTTACCAGACTGCCTGTAGTCACGTATTTCTGCTATGACACATCCACAATGAAAAATATTAACCTAGTTGAAAGAAAAAAAAAAACACTTATAAATAAACAAATATTTACCAATCCACCCCTGCCTCTAAATAGAAGTTTTTTATATAACATATAAAATTCAGGGAAACTATGAATAAAACTAATCACTAATTTTTTCAGACCAGTGCTTTTTACTACATACCTAGACATACTTAAAATATAAGCTTAAAATGTAGTGTTTCACATGCCAACAAAGTAGTTTCAAGAAATTTCCACGCCAAACATTGTCATTACGACAAAGAACAAAGGGCATTTTGCTAGAGCACGGAGTTGAAGTTGTTTCACAGCTATCTCTATCTTTCTCTTCAGTATTTTTTTCCTAAAGAAGAATATTTATTTGAGGTTTTAAATATTACAATTGCAAATGCACAAGTGTCTTGCGATTAGAATCACCTATGCGAAGCATTCAAAAAAATCAAGGTCTATCTGGGTACAAAACATAAGTTCTTTTTTAAAACAAAACTTTCAAACCTGAGATTTTTCCAAAAGATCAACCAAAATAGGGGGTAGTTCCTCTGCATCCAAATATTCAAGCAGCTCTCCTTCCTCATAAGGCAGACGAATGGTCTCAGAATCTGAATTTAAACAAAACATATTACTTTTCTTTTGCCTGTCAAGTTCCAACTTTAATAATGAGAAATCTGAAACAAACTTGCTACAGGAAAAAGCAGGGTTGGTAGAAACTGTCCAAACAGACCATTTTTTTGCACAGTATTCATTTTCACATCCCTTTCTGTTTCCAGAGCTTTTTTTTGCTCTTATGGTGCTAATAGACAGAAATTTCACTCCCAGGTGACATACTGTATGCTCTTATTGCTTGTCACAGTAGCAAGAGCAAGGAGATACAACCAAACTAGAACAAAAATGCCTTTAGACATCCAGAAATTAAGTGGAAATAAGAGAATGAAAGGCTATCAAAAACACTTGTATCTACAGATTTACACTGCACCTCACAGTTTTATGTAAATTTTTAATTTAAAATTTTTAATTCAAGTACAGGTGTTTGTCCCATCCCAGTGTGGGTAAGTAACAACACATTCTAACTATTTACATAGAATTCTGAGTATTTTTAAAAATTAAAGAGCAAAAATATTACCTGAACCATTTTTTCCCCTGAGCATAAGTGAATAACCCTCATTTCCCGGATAGAGGTTCACTACCAGACATGACAATGTCTCCTGCATAACCAGCTTCTCAAGTAAATTCACATTTCGCCTCAGCTTCTGCTTTAAAAGTAAACATTGCTCATGAGCATAATACAAGGAAATAATTAGTAAAAATAAAAACAATTGCTAGAATATGTCTAATATTTAGATTAAAAACAAAGTACACATCTAAACAAGGCCCGTTAAATTAAATTGTACTGTATTCAGCAGAGTAAATATATTATGTATTATCACACATACTTATATATACAGATTTTTTTAAAAAAATCCCACTCATTTAAATTAAAAACCCTAAAACTGGAAGTCCACAGACAAGAGAGTTAATAAGAATGATGCTATGGTACGATGTTATGAATCTACAGTGGCCCTATTTATTTGTATAATTTATATGAACGTCATTTATCCACTACACATTGTTTGATAAAAACAACAAAATATTTAGTATTTTCAAATATTCCTAACAGAAGCAGATATTTCTCTCCAGGATTAAAATACTGAATTACAGCATTTAGAAGCTTTAATTGCATTTTCTTGTCTGTATTTGCTGAAATCTAACCCAGCAGCTGCAGACACTATTCCCTTATTTAAGAATGATTTCTCCCATGTATAGAAGATTTTTAAAATTACTTGGTATGTTTTAGAGACCCTACATATATATCCTACTAACTGAAACATTTGAAGTCCCCCTAGAACTTTAGACAATGAATTCTAAACCTCAGATAATTTTATACCTTCTGGCTGGAGGCCAGATTTCATCTCTGAATACCAGCTCTGAGTGAAGCCATTGACTGGGAGTTAACCTGAGGTCTCTACTAACCCTGCCAAACTACTCACTACACATACACCCAGCTAAGTAGTAGTGGGCTACCTTTTTTTGAACAAATTCATCTTTCCACAGATATTGAAAAGAGAGAGCAGGATTATAACTTCTTGGGGAACAAACTTAGAGAAAAATGATTGGAAAAAAAACTTTCAAATCCCACAGCAATATAATTATAAGGAAGAGAAAAGGGAAGAAAGTATTTTCAATTTCCTGCTATGTAGTTTTAGAACCATTGCCTAAAGTTAACTCTTCCCCATGCATCATGAATGATGGTGACTACATCTCACTGGCTTTTACAGTACAGAAATAGTGGAAACTAACACAAAGAGACAGAGAAGTTAGCACCTAAATCCTTTTGGAATTAATGGGAAAAGAATTGTAGAAGTGGAGGAGAATAGGGGAAAATATGTCAAAGCAAGAACAGAGGTAAGAGTGCTCATGAAAGCCAATTTCTCATACAGGATGTTGGAGATGCAGCATGTTATGCAAAATATTCTGCAGCTAGAACTCCTACCAACCCCTCCACCATCCACCAAACACCAGGAGGCTGAATGTGCTGTGCTTCAGTTTTCAGACACATCCCTGAGTAGGGGATATAGCTACTGGGTTTTCCCTTAGACATAGTAGGAAGTAGCTTAAGGTACAGTAAATGTCATTTGAGAACAAAGTCAGAACTCAACTACTGTGACAACCACACTTTTAAAAACTGAGATACTGTCATGTTTTGATGGAAAAGTTTTTGTGTATGTTCCCCTGTGTTGGAAAAGTTAATTCTTTTATATTTAGCTATTCACTGGCATTAGGACAGAAAGAAATATGAAAATTCTGTAAGTTATGTAAAGGAGATCAAGAAGAAATTAATCACACTAAAGTTATATTTAAAAATAACAAAACAATAAAAAACAATTCCATTCCTCTATCATTGGGATAGAACCAATACAACTTCTAGAAGCTGTTACTAATCCAACTTTACTATTTTCAAGAGCTGAAGAAAAAGGATCATTCAATCAATGGCATTATTCCATCCAAAATACAGGCAGAGAATAATTTATACTAACTAGTAACCACTGACAGAATTTCTAAACAAACAATATTTTTTTCCTAACAATTTGTCTATGTATGCAAAAAATAGCCATGAGATTTATTTCATGGAAAGCCTCTGCTCCTTAAACACCTCACAAGTAAAATATATATCACAGTAATTAAATTGCAAATGTAATAAAAATTCAGTTAATCACATCACTCTCTACATTTATTATTCAGTGAATTATACATTAGTTTCATTTTTTAAGTTTTGTTAAATAATTGTTGGTCACTCATGGCTTGGATTTTTTAGCTGTTACAGGTTTTTTGGAGGTTAAGGTGTTGGGAGGGAAAACATGTAAAGGAGAGGACAATCACATAGGTCTGAGAACATTTTTGACACTGAATTCATATAACCTCAAATTTTAAAGACATATTATAAAAACATTTTAAAATATAAAGCCTCTCCAAATATTGGAGTAAATTAGCATTTTAAGTACAAACATTTCAATGTGTCGATAATGTTACATTTCATTAAGTATGAAAAATTTTTATGCCTACAAAAAAATAGCTTTCTCCTTTGAGCTGGCACACTGAGATACTGTCTCAGAGTTGATATTAAGCATTAGTTTAGGTCACGTGCGTAAAGATTTTAAAGATCAAGGAGTGGTTTAAGGTGTATTAGGTTTCTTAAGAATTCATTGCTTTACACTACAAGAGTTCAGATACCAAGCAACCAGGCCAGCTCTACTGCTGTTACATCAGCTAAACCTCTACCCTCTCTGGCTTCACCCACATAAAAGCAGCACTACTTCCTCCTGAACATGCACTGCAGGGACTGTGTGATGGATGGGAAGCTGCACAGAGAAGACACAGGTGCTTCTTTTGCTCCCAGTGAATTCTGATGACTGTCACTGAATAAAGAATACTGAGCACTCCTGCCTAACCAAGACTGAAGTAGTGATTTTATGCTGGTTATTACTCCTCCACCCTTGGCTACAAGCAAAATGTTAATCTTAATACCTACTCCTCAAACAGCACATTGGGTATTACACAAAATTATGTTATCTTTACCATGACTGCTTTTCTTGTTCCTCACTGTAGCATATTAAACTGATTTTCCCATCTAATGTTATGATTGAAAAGTTGGTCAAAAAGCTTATAATAAAAAGATCACTTCCAAAAAAAAAAAGTAAAAAAAAAGGCACCACTTCAGGAATGCACAGAAGATGCACCTTGAAAGGAACTGAAGTAACTTCCATTAACAGAGTTCTGAAACTCTTTTTACTCCAAGATGTTTTCATGCTTGCACACTGATGCTATCACATGCGGCTGTCAGAAGACACCAATTGAGAATAAGCAACCGACCAATGATTTTCCATTTTTTTTTAGATTTGTTTCTGTAACAGAGATCCTCAGATTTACCTGCCTTGCATTGATCCTTCCAGCCTACAGGTCAGGTCTGTTTCCACATTTGTGTTTAACACTGAGCCCAACATTATTTTTTGGGGTTTTTTTTCTTTCAACTTTTACATATGGGAATGTTGCACACCAGAGTCTAAGTAAAGCGAACTGTTTCATTAGACAACCCCCCCGACATAGTTAGTTCTCTCTTTAGTGTGCATATGTAGAAATAGAAGAGACCTTGAAAAGCAATGAAGTTGGGCTGATTGGAGTAAGAGAGGAAGAATAATTAATTAAGGAGAAAGTTAAGACTGAAAAACAATATTCAGTGTTAATTTAAAAATTGCTCTTGAGTGGACAATCTAATTACAACTTGTACCATCAAGTGAACTCAGTTCAGTTTTACTTTGCCAATTAAGAGACAAATACACAATCCTATGCTTGTGGATGAAGTTTCACAGTAGCATTACCTTTTAACCTTTGTACCTGAATCTTTGAGCTTCTCATTGAACATAAGACCAAGGTATGTATTAACTATCCACATCTTAGTTCAGTGAATAAGGACTCTACATACAAACTTGCCTATCATAAGCTTCCAATTCCTCAATAAAGAACTTAGTTTTTTATTCAAATCTAGACCAGCAACAATCGCTGTCATCTGCTCTGATATTATAACTCGATTCACTACTTCAGTTTTCTTATAGTTGGGTAAGTTTGCCTAGTGCCTTCTAGTTTAGCAGGACTTACTGCATTAAAATCCCAGGGCTCTTCCCATATTCCAGTCTAGCAAGGTTGATCTTCTCCCTGCTGCTCAAATATTTTACTACCCATTCACTACTGATATTTTAAGCTTTTTAAGTTTGTAATTTGCTTAAAACCTCACATCTGTGATTTGAATCAGGATCATATTCTACATACAATCAACCATATCAGAAACACTGAAAGGAATTACAGGTGCTCGGTAACTAATATCTCATGCCCATTTATCTTCTCATTTGTTTTTACTTTCTTGGAAGCAGCAATACAGCAGATTCCACAGCTTGTTCTTCTTGTTCCATTTGACATTCACAGTTTAGCAAAGTAACTTGTGCCTTTTTACACCTTATATTTAGCATTGCTAAGTCTGCTTGAGCTTCTTTGCTAACATTATGAAAAAATTTCAAAAACTTCTGAGTTCACAAGCTGTTTGAGAAATAAACATCAGTCACTTGAAACAATTGATTCTGAAACAGTGATACTGACAACAATGCACGTGGCACTGACACTGGCCCTGAACTTGACCTCAACTGACTTCTGTGACACAGGATTAAGAAAGAATGAACACGTCACTCAGCCTTACTATTCATATTATATCATTCAGTTACTTTAATAGTACTGTTTTCTAATAAACTCGTTAGATACATCTGTCCATTCTAGACCATTCTTTTGAAATTCTCTCTTTCCATTTCAAGAGTACACTATATACAATCCTCAGCAAGCATTCTACTTTATAACCTCTAAAAACAGATTTAGGGTTACCAGGTAGTCACTGACCCTCCCATTACCTTGTTTTTCTTTCAAACTGGACTAAGATAATGCTATTAAATTACAGTTTAGTCCACAAAACTCACAATAATTTTTTTTCCTGTAGTCTCAGCCTCAGGTAACTACTACAGTAGGAAGAGTTTATTCTTTTTGTAACAAAGAAATTAATTGAAATTTTAAAAATGTATTTTCTGAAGTTGCCTGTTTAGACAGCAATGAAAAGTTTCTCAGCAATTTCCACTTACCTTTATCTCGGGCTCCTTTTCACATTCTTCTGTATATAAATCATAGAGTTTTTGAAACACAGATTTTCTGCAATTAAAAAAGCTTAAAATGTAACCAAAATTAAATCAAAGAAATGCTATATAAAAACTGAATACTGAAACTCTTAGTACCTTCCACTGGATAAATATTTTCTTTTGGGAGGTCTCTGACGGGCACTTTCAATGATATACTACAAGAGAAAAGTAAACCAAAAACATAATATACATTACAAAGAAATTTATTTCTATCTACCACACAACTTTAGATCATTACCAGACAGTGTTCCATGTATACAGAATGTAATTAACAGCTATGCTGCATGACTTTTCCGAAAGCGTACTGAACACGATTTGGTCTATGGTATAGTCATTAACAAGAATACAGCTCAGTTTAGTTGTCAAAAGTAGCATTTCATGGCTATGGTATTAGTTGCACACAAAGTCTTGATTCTGCATTTGTGTTTTTTAATTAAAATAGTAATTAACACTACTGTACTTAGCTAACATTACTGAAGTTAATGTAGTTAACACACTGACAGTAATGTGGTGAACATACTAACATACGACCAAATTTATGCATTCTGGCTCAACGACATCTACAATCAAGTGCTCCTCAACAAAACTAATTTCAGGAAGTTTAGTTTTCCCCTTGTTTTTTGCATTTACACTTGTTTTCTCTATAGAGCTGTGTATTATAAATACAATTCATGTACATTAAACATTTGTATTAAAAAAATAAGAGACATATCATCCTACATTAAATATGGTTTATATTCTAATAAGGTTTTTCCTAATCACTGTTGTTTGTCTGAAGTATTTTGATTAACAGCTTAGTTCAGAATTTCAGTGAAGAGAAATTCTCCCATAGAAGCATTTCCCATTACAGGGCTCAAGGTAACCATTGTGTCACAGGTCAGCATGAAAGAAAAGAATGTGAAGGCACTTGCCTTTGTTCTAACTGGGTTTTCCTTAAATCGAACAGGATTTTACCATATATTTCTGCCACCTATCTTGTAGATATTTCACAGCACACAGATGGTGGGTTAAAAAAGGAAAACTGAATTCCTGCATAGTCTATCACCATCACACTTGAAGTCTTCAGTACAATGGGTAAGAGACAAATACATGACAGCAATTTGAGTGAGAATTTTGTAAATTCAGTGTTACATGTATGGGTGATTATTTATACACATACCTATATTTACATAACATGTTTTTCCACTGCTTTTCAGGAGAAATAAAAAAATAACTGCTGTATTTTTATAACTGTGAGACAATTTATTATGCACAGGCAAGTAATTCAGCTGCTTCTTACCTCGGCACGATCCAATGCCTGTTCTAAAGCTTGCTGCTGCAAGAATCACAAAGGGGTTTTTAGAAATTACATTACTTGTTTAAACACTCTCATGCATAAAAACACCACAAAAGCTCTACCACTGATATGGACTTAGAAGATGGGCTCAAACTCTCTTTGGCACATACTAAGCTTAACAGCTGAAACCTCATGTAACTGTATCACAAGGTTTGGCTAAATTATGTACCCTTAGAACAACGAAAGGCAATTGGACTTAAAAATAGGAATACTAATTACATCTAATAAAAGCAGTAACAAATATTAACCAAAGCACTTATCGATGACAAGTAGAAAACCTTTGTTCTTTTTTGTTAAGGTGGTCACTAATTCAACAGAAAGCCTATGCTAAGGTGTCCATGAACAGTTGTCCAGGAAGCAAACATTTTAACTTCTAGATACTGGTGCCCAAGTATTAATACACAAAATGGAAATTAAGATCTTGTACTCAGAATGTTACTTCTATACACAATACAATTTGAGAAGAGTTTCTTACGATATACTGTTAGGCGGCTAAGAAACAAAATCAACTTCCACTCCAGATTTCCTCCAAAGCAGGCTAAGAAGTCTGGACAACTCTATCAAAACACAGCAAAATCTGGAAAAGCTACTCTATATCCCATTGCATAGTATACTCAATACCATTTACTTTAACAAATTTAGCTCCTTTGGAACATCTTTTACTTCAGTATAACTGCAGCTGATAATCCTGTATTTCAAGAAGAGCAAAAAGCACGATGAGTTCTTGGACTAAAATTTAACAAGTATTTCAAACCAGAATAAACAAAAAAAGATAGAAAGTCTTCTTGGCTCCTAACTTTCCTCCTCTGGCACTCACTTTAGCTCTAATGCCTCCTTTGTGTCCTTTGTGCAGTAATAAAGTGCAACTGCTAAATGCACCAGTCAACGAAACTGATTTGGGGCAGGGAGGAGAGAGAGGACAATACTAAGAACCAAAGTCTCGTAGGAGAATGAGTGGGACTTGATTCAGCTCCAGGAAAGTTCAGAGAAGCAATGCATTAATTTCAGTGGCAGGTGGATGTGGAATGTATTGTGACAAGCTCTAATATTCAGTAAAGCTTAGAAACATTTGTAATAGATACCTCTTCCATATTTGTGGTATTTCCTCAGTTTAAACCATCCTATTAGCTGTTCATGAAAGCAAATACCTTTACTTGAACATCAAGGAACAGAAAGCACGTGAGCCATGTCTAATCCAAGGTAGCACCAGTTATTTCATAGATAGTGAATTTTTCATATTTTGTTATAACAGAATTCAGGAAGAAAAGCATTACACAACAACAAAGTAACAGCAAAGAAAAGACAACAAAACTACTCAGGCATTTTACCATTCATCTACAACATACCCAGCACAAAATTTCTTACCTGTTCACAAAAAAACCCCATCTACTTAACATGCTATTACTTCTCAGAATCCACCACCACAGAACATGTAAATTTTCAAGTGTCTGAGTGTTTTTATGAAAATGTCTAATACTCATGCTTTGTATATAAGTCTAGTGGATAAATGCATGATTTCAGATATTCAGTTCCCTGAGTGCTTAACATTAGGTAACAATCCGAAGCAACACTAGGACTAGTGAATAGAATACTATGTGGAAGCAGGATTTATATGCACCCAACTGTCTACCATCAGCTGTGAATGAAAAGCCACCACTAGCTTCATATAACAATTCCTATGATTCCTGGCCAGTGACTAAATGTTTAGAAGCATTCATAAGCTATGAAGGAACACATCCCTGGAAAAAGGAATGTCAGAGCTCAAAAGTGACATGCCAAATAATTTAAGAAAATGTGACACACTGATGGCGTTCTCCTCATCAGCCAGACAGCTAGTAGGCTTGAGCAAAAGGATCTGAAAATATATTATCTGAATCATAACTTACCATTGTAGTTGAGACCACGTGAACAAACTGCAAAAGAAGCTCTTAGGGAATTTGGTGCAGCAGGCAAAGAATCATATTTTATGCTCACACTTGGGGTACTGAGAAAAGAAATTAAGGAGAAAAAGTATCACTAAGGAACTGAGTATTTTATTTAAATACGACATTTCTGGTAACTAATTGTACTGAAATGTCATTTGAAAAGTATCGTATCCTCCAAATGTAGAAACAAGAGTTCCATTCACTGCTATTGTAGAGGTTCTCCTTAGAATGACTACTACTCCTCTTCGTAATCATTTTACACTAGTTACATTAAATAGTAAAGTAATAAGCATATAAGTGAGCTTACACAGCCAAGTACTCTTCTCTATTGCAGCAGTCCGCCTAGACATCCCAAATATCACATCCTCAGATGCACAGAAAGCTAAAACATTTAATGACAATCGGTCAGGGAGTTCAGCACACCCCACCAGTTCTTTTGTTTTGCTTTCGAGCAGGTGTTATTCCCAGCCAACACCTCCACTAGCCGTGTCTTCCAGCGCTGTTCTGCGATGTTAGTTTCACACTGACTCACAGGAAGCGCCTGCCGGCGCTCAGAGTGACCGAGGGCGGCAGCCGACCAGGAAGGGCCGGCCCGGCCCAAGCCGAGGGCGCAGGACGGGCCCCCGCCCCACTCCGCCCCCTCCCGCCGCCCCCTCCCCGGCGCGGTCGGGGAGCGCCGTGCCCGGGGCAGCCCCGCGGCCCGCCGAGCGCCGATACCTGCGGGCCTGTCCCGCGGAGCCCCCAGCACAGCCGCCCGCCCGACCATCCGCCCCCGCCCTGCCGCTTCCGAGCCGCTCCGGAAGGGGCGGGAGCGGCGCCATGCAGAGCGAGCGGGAGGGCGGGGCGGGGCTGCCGGCGCTGTTTGGGGCGGGCCGGGGGGGGAGAGGTTCAGGGCGTTC